CCCTTGTGTGTCTCTATCCTTTTCCCCTGTCTCTTTCTCTTTCCCTGTCTCTCCCCCACATCTCTCTCCCCTTTGTCTCTTTCCCCCTCTATTTTATTTTCCCCCTCCCCTTGTGTCTCTTTATTCCCCATCTTCCCCCTCCCATTTACCTGAGAGGAGTCAGGGGGGCCGGCTGCATTCCACTCTGGAGCCGCCGGACCGGGTGGCAGCCTCGCCAGTCCGGCGGCCCTCCTCCTGTCACTGATGGCTGAGGGAGGAGCATGTCTCTGTACCATGCTCCCTCGCGGTTCCTGTGCTGGGCATTGTGGGAACCGCGAGGGAGCATGGTACAGAGACATGCTCCTCCCTCCTCCTCTTTCACTCCTCAGCCATCAGTGACAGGAGGAGGGCTGCCGGTGTAAAGTAGTCATTATCAGACTGGAGCAATTTAAATGGAGTCCAAGAGAAATGGGATTATTTAAAAGTTGCACTAGTGAAGGCAACAGAAAATTGCATTAGGCTTGTCAGTAAAAGCAAAAAATTCAAGAAACCACTGTGGTACTCCGCAGATGTTGCCAAAAATGTAAAAAACAAAAAGTTAGCATTTAGTAATTATAAAAAAACCCAGAGTGAGGAAGACAGAATGATCTATAAGATTAGGCAGAAAGAGGCTCAGCAAGTTATAAGAGCTTCCAAATCACACACAGAAGAGAAAATAGCACAGTCAGTAAAAAAGTAAAAGAAAAGGAATACAAGGATTAGTTAGATTAAAAACAAAAGAAGGAAGAGGATAAAGGTCTAGCTGACTGCCTCAACGAATATTTTTGTTTGGTATTTACAGATGAAAATGAAGGAAAGGGACTTCAGTTAAGAAAAAGGATAAATGAATCATTTATTACACGTGAGTTTACAGAGGAAGAGGTTCTATTTCAACTGTCAAAAGTAAAGACAAATAAGTCAATGGGACCTGATGGAATACACCCAAAGCTATTAAAAGAGCTTAGTGGTGTACTAGCAAAACCATTAACAGATTTATTTAACAAATCGTTGTTAACAGGAGTAGTCCCAGAAGATTGGAAGTTAGCGAATGTTGTGCCCATTCACAAGAAAGGTAATAGGGAGGAGTCGGGCAACTATAGGCCAGTAAGCCTTACTTCAGTAGTTGGGAAAGTGATGGAAACCATGTTAAAAGATAGGATTGTTGAACATCTAAAAACACATGGATTTCAAGATCAGAGACAACATGGGTTTACTTCAGGGAGATCATGCCAAACTAATCATATTGATTTATTTGATTGGGTAACTAAAATTATAGATCAGAGTGGTGCAGTAGACATTGCTTACCTAGATTTCAGTAAGGCTTTTGACACTGTTGCACATAGAAGGCTTATCAATAAACTGCAGTCTTTAAGTTTGGATTCCAATATTGTTGAATGGGTAAGGCAGTGGCTGAGTGACAGGCAACAGAGGGTTGTAGTCAATGGAGTATATTCAAAGCTTGGGCTTGTCACCAGTGGGGTACCTCAGGGATCTGTACTTGGACCCATTCTCTTTAATATTTTTATTAGTGATATTGCAGAAGGTCTTGATGGTAAGGTATGTCTTTTTGCTGATGATACTAAGATATGTAACAGGGTTGATGTTCCAGGAGGGATAAGGCAAATGGCAAATGATTTAGGTAAACTAGAAAAATGGTCAGAGTTGTGGCAACTGACATTTAATGTGGATAAGTGCAAGATAATGCAAAACCAAAGCAGGGCCGCCACCAGACATTTTGGGGCCCCTGACACAGCACAAGGTCTGGGCCATCCCCCTCTCCACCCCCCTCATCCCAACCAAAAGTCCGCCCACAGGACTCCTACCTAGTCCGCTGCAAATGATGCAGGACTGAATGTGGTGTGTATAGTGGAACTGAATTAGAATGTGTGTAATGGATGTAGTGTTTGTGTGTATTAGATACTGTTTGTGCAGTGAATGCAGAGTGTGTGTTTGTGTAGCGGATGCAGTGTGTATAGTGAACGCAGAGTGTGTTTGAGTAGTGAATGTAGTGTGTGTTTGTGTAGTGGATGTAGTGTTTGTGTGTACCAGATGCAATGTGTTTAGTGGATGCAGTGTCTGTAGTGAATGTAGTGTGTGTATTAGATGCAGTGTCTCTGTATAGTGAATGCAGAGTGTTTGAATGTGTGGTGGATGTAGTGTGTGTACTGTGAATACAGGATGTTTGTGTAGTGGATGCTGTGTGTATAGTTAATGCAGAGTGTGTGTCAGTGTATTGAATGCAGAGTGTGTGTCAGTGTAATGAATGCAGAGTGTGTGTCAGTGTAGTGGATGCAGAGTGTGTGTGTGTTAGTGTAGTGAATGCAGAGTGTGTGTGTGTTAATGTAGTGTATGAAGAGTGTGTGTATGCTAGTGTAGTGTATGCAGAGTGTGTGTGTGTTAGTGTAGTAAATGCAAAGTGTGTGTTAATGTAGTGTATGAAGAGTGTGTGTGTGCTAGTGTAGTGTATGCAGAGTGTGTGTGTGTGTGTGTGTGTGTGTGTGTAGTGAATGCAGAGTGTGTGTGTGTTAGTGTAGTGAATGCAGAGTGTGTGTTAGTGTAGTGTATGCAGAGTGTGTGTGTTAGTGTAATGATTGCAGTGTGTATGTTAGTGTGGTGAATGCAGTGTGTGTTAGTGTAGTGAATGCAGAGTGTGTGTTAATGTAATGATTGCAGTGTGTGTGTTAGTGTAATGATTGCAGTGTGTGTGCTAGTGTAGTGTATGCAGCGTGTTAGTGTAATGATAGCAGTGTGTGTGTGTTAGTGTAGTGAATGCAGTGTATGTGTTAGTGTAGTGTATGCAGAGTGTGTGTTAGTGTAATGATTGCAGTGTGTGTGTTATCGTAGTGTATGCAGAGTGTGTATTAGTGTAATGAATGCAGTGTGTGTTAGTGTAATGATTGCAGTGTGTGTTAGTGTAGTGTATCATGGTTGTCACCCCCTGATGGCGGCCCTGTGTGTGTGTGTGTGTGTGTGTGTGTAGTGAATGCAAAGTGTGTGTGTGTTAGTGTAGTGAATGCAGAGTGTGTGTTAGTGTAGTGTATGCAGAGTGTGTGTGTTAGTGTAATGATTGCAGTGTGTATGTTAGTGTAGTGAATGCAGTGTGTGTGTTAGTGTAGTGAATGCAGAGTGTGTGTTAATGTAATGATTGCAGTGTGTGTGTTAGTGTAGTGTATGCAGAGTGCGTGTTAGTGTAATGATTGCAGTGTGTGTGTGTTAGTGTAGTGAATGCAGTGTGTGTGTTAGTGTAGTGTATGCAGAGTGTGTGTTAGTGTAATGATTGCAGTGTGTGTTAGTGTAGTGTATCATGGCTGTCCCCCCCTGATGGCGGCCCTGAACCCAAGGGCAGCGTACAGAATATTTAATAGAGTCCTAACCTCAACATCTGAGAAAGGGATTTAGGGGTGATTATTTCTGATGACTTAAAGGTAGGCAGACAATGTAATAGAGCAGCAGGAAATGCTAGCAGAATGCTTGGTTGTATAGGGAGAGGTATTAGCAGTGGAAAGAGGGAAGTGCTCATGCCATTGTACAGAAAACTGGTGAGACCTCACTTGGAGTATTGTACGCAGTACTGGAGACCGTATCTTCAGAAGGATATTGATACTTTAGAGACAGTTCAGAGAAGGGCTACTAAACTGGTTCATGGATTGCAGGATGAAACTTACCAGGAAAGGTTAAAGGATCTTAACATGTATAGCTTGGAGGAAAGACGAGACAGGGGGGATATGATAGAAACATTTAAATATATAAAGGGAATCAACACAGTAAAGGAGGAGACTATATTTAAAAGAAGAAAAACTACCACAACAAGAGGACATAGTCTTAAATTAGAGGGACAAAGGTTTAAAAATAATATCAGGAAGTATTACTTTACTGAGAGGGTAGTGGATGCATGGAATAGCCTTCCAGCTGAAGTGGTAGAGGTTAACACAGTAAAGGAGTTTAAGCATGCGTGGGATAGGCATAAGGCTATCCTAACTATAAGATAAGGCCAGGGACTAATGAAAGTATTTAGAAAATTGGGCAGACTAGATGGGCCGAATGGTTCTTATCTGCCGTCACATTCTATGTTTCTATGTTTCTAAGTTATGTTTTTAAATTACTGAGCTATCACGAAACACATCAGAAATGAAATTCTACTGAGTTCAGCGGGTTATTTAAAGGAACACTATATGGTCAGGAACACAAACATGTATTCCATATCATTTAGGTGGCTTGTCTGCCCCCCCCCCCTCCCCAGCCCCCTCAACCCCCTTAAAAAGGAATTAAAACTTACCTTATTTCCAGCCTGTGCTGGCCCCACCCCTGATCCACCTCCTTGATGACATCATGATAATTGCAGATTTTTTAGCCAATCCAGTGCTTTCCCATAGGGAAGGAGATGTGGTGGGGGGCTGGGCCAAACACTGTTTTGGCCAATCAGCACCTGCTCATAGATATGCATTGAATCAATACATCTCTATGAGGAAAATTCAGCGTCCCCATGCAGAGTGTGGAGTCACTGAACAGCAGTGCTGCCTACTGTGCAGCACTGCCACAGGAAGCATATCCAGTGGCCATTTGAGAAGTGGAAACTTGGAGGTGTCCCTAGGGGCAATGTAACCACTGTTTTTTCTCTAAAAAGGCAGTGTTTGCACGAAAATGCCTAAAGGCAATGATTATACTCACCAGAACAACTACATTAAGCTGTAGTTGTTGTGGTGACTATATACTAAGTTTTTTTTTTCACTTTACATTTTTTATTTTTTTTATTACACACAGAAACACATTAAATGCTGGGGAAGTTTTTACATCAAAGTAGAAATGGATTTAACTGTAGAATATTGTTTAGTTCAATTTGTGCTAGTATGAGGACAGGGCATAGTGAAGTGCATGCTTGATGTTTTTTATATCATCTCTACATTATGAATCAATGTGACTTGCCATTAGGTTTAATGATCTCCAATTTCTAACCTCAGTATCTATCATACTTTACGTGTTGTGTCTGTCACTTGTCTAAATTGATCATGTGTGCTGATACTCACATGCAAGTGAAATATAAGTAACATGTGAATGTGAACAAGAAGGCATACCATAAATATTAAATAGCCTATCAAAACAAATGCAAAAATTTTAAATAAGTAGATATTTGTCAATGCAACATAACCAAATAATGGAATTTACTTACAAATAAATTTCTGTATTAATAAATCACATATATTTTCTACATATAATTAGACAAAAAAATATGGAATAAAAACAGTCAATATTGCTTTAGTAGGTTCACTTTTGTGACATTATCTTATAAATCAATAAATCTTATTGCATACTCACCTGGCA